TATTTTCGTTTAGTTTTTAAATTTTTTCTAAACTTTTCTATTTTTTTTTGTCAAAAGCTTTGATTACTATTAGTAAAAGGTTAGATTTAATACATACATGTTTGTAGTCTATTTTTATTTTATTTTTATTTTTTTATTTTCTTTGTTCTTGTGTTTATTTAACTTAGTCTACATTACGTGCTATACCTTTTATTTATTATGCAGTAAATCATTGTTCCTGTTTTGTGTCATAGTTTAAGTTTTTTAATAATCTTTGAATGTTGCACAAAATTATTGTTTTGCAAAATCACTTAGAAATCGAATTAAATGATTTTCTAATATTCCTAATATCTATAACGCTAACATTTGTTTTTAAATATTTTTGTTTTTAATCCTAAATGAAAGTGGTACAAGTTGNAATACAAAAATATTTTCCAACATGCGACATTTTTTAAATGTAAAGTTTTCCGTCCTTAAAAATACATACATTGTATTCCAAACTTTTACTAAACATTTAAATCGTACATTTTTCTGAAAAATTTTCGTATGTAGTTTTACTTAAGTGCTTATAACTTCCACATTTATTATTAAATTTAGATAAGCTGCTTTGACGTCCAGAAAATAGTTCGGAAGCAAACAAATCCTTTCCTCTTACTATTTGTACCGGAAGTAAACTTATTTGGAAATTTTGTTAAAAATAATCAAAAATTATCAACAAATCAATGAATAGCTTCTAAACTGCTAATTAGGTTGGGAAAATGTCGTTGTCATAGTTGATTTGAAAAAAGAAATTCTGAAATTGGCCGACAATATAAAAAAAAACAAAAACGCAAAATTATGACCCACCAAATCGGGGATTCTTATTTCTGAAAGTTACACTTATATGGGAAATGGGCGTAATTTTAGTCATAATTCAAAATTGCTCAACATATTGCTTTTTTGTACCGAGGCCAATAACTGTACCGGTTTTGGGTAGAAATTGATAAATCGCTTAATCGTGTGTGTATCTCACATTAGTCATAAGTGGGCGGTGCAACGCCCATTTGCCAGACAAATTTTAATGAACGCATTTACTGCTAAAACGATTTTGAGTCAATTAGCATTAATATTTACTGATTTATCACCGTTTTCGTATTCTGTAAATTACCGTTATGTATATGGGAGTTGGACGTAGTTCTTGCCCAGTTTCACAAAGGTTCCACAGATATCCTAGTTAGATTGCAAGCAATATTATTGTTAAGAGAGCAGACATCTCTTTCAGTTGCGTCGGAATACTACTGTAATAGGCTCATTTGGGTACTAGGGTCACAGCGATATTACGGGTAACTGTGGGTCTGATGAATTGGGTAGGAAAGGTACTCTTGAAGCGATATCACCAGCCAAAATGGCGACACTCTTGGATAGATGAATCCCATGTCAGCTCAGCGAAGAAGAAAGAAAAGTAGCTGAAGAAAAAAAAGAGAAAGTAGCTGAAGCACACGGCAAAGCCCAGGAGCAGAAATGTTGCTCTTGGTGAATAGGACTATTTTTTCACACTAGGATTAACGGCAAAATCGCTGTAAGTAGTTCACCTAATCAATGGATTAAAGTATGTTGCATCATCATGATAAGAATCATGTCCTCCACATGGGCAATTAGCCGAGAGCTCCTACTCTCCAACTCCTCTAACCAGTCGTATGTGAACACTATAGAACAGTGGTCGGCATACTAAACACATTCAAACGATTCAATAAGTGAGAATGTGTGCATTAAATGTACTGCTCAGTTCCCGCTCTTCGTATATGTGTGAAACACACATTTGCTCAGAGAGCGCCCACTGAGCTATGGCCCGCCGACCACTGCTATAGAAGACACCGCTGTGCGATGGAGGCACTACCCCACTCCGCTCCAACAGCCTTGTCACAGAGCAAGCTTTACTACGCCACACTAACTAAGCTTCATGCTCAAAGCTATCTGGTGATATGACTGTTGCACCAGGTAAGCAAAAGCTTCTTTAAACCCGATAACAGTTTTGTAGAAAGAGGTCTCCAACGATCTTGCTTTATTAAAAGTGAACTGAACTTAAGACAAAGATGAAGATAAAGAATTAAAGAAATTAAAATATAGACAAGGTAAAGACAAAGATAATGATGATAATAAAAATAAACGTAAGAAAAAGGATAAAGAAAACATAGAGATGAAGACAAAGACAAAGGTAAAGGTAAAGGTAAAGTGCTTTTTAATGAATTCAAGAGACATATCATAAAATTAAGAAGAGTTTCTTTTTAAATCATGCAACCAAGCATTTTTTTGTTATGATGATGATGATATTGTTATCAAAAAATTTAATACGAATATTCACATAAAATCAATAGGGAATCTCTGTGAATTTTTTCCCGTTTTTTAGTCTGTTTAGCTCTTAGCCTAGAAATCTTTCATAGAGACAATCTTCCTATTTCTATGGGTCATATTTTTCTCTGTGTGCGTACGTTTATTGTATATTCTAACTACGCAACAGTTAACCTTTCCCTGTGCTAATAACGGGTGATTTTTTTGAGGTTAGGATTTTCATGCATTAGTATTTGACAGATCACGTGGGATTTCAGACATGGTGTCAAAGAGAAAGATGCTCAGTATGCTTTGACATTTCATCATGAATAGACTTACTAACGAGCAACGCTTGCAAATCATTGAATTTTATTACCAAAATCAGTGTTCGGTTCGCTTTACGTCCGATTTATGGTCTACATAATCGACCAAGTGAGCAAACAATTAATGCGATTGTGACCAAGTTTCGCACTCAGTTTACTTTATTGGACATTAAACCAACCACACGAATGCGTACAGTGCGTACAGAAGAGAATATTGCGTCTGTTTCTGAGAGTGTTGCTGAAGACCGTGAAATGTCGATTCGTCGCCGTTCGCAGCAATTGGGTTTGCGAAACACATTTCGAACCGAACACTGATTTTGGTAATAAAATTCAATGATTTGCAAGCGTTGCTCGTTAGTAAGTCTATTCATGATGAAATGTCAAAGCATACTGAGCATCTTTCTCTTTGACACCATGTCTGAAATCCCACGTGATCTGTCAAATACTAATGCATGAAAATCCTAACCTCAAAAAAATCACCCGTTATATGTAAAAGATGCACAATTTTTTACAAAAAAAAAAAAAAAAAAAAAAATTGGGGTATAAGTTTTGCAAATTAGCCAAGTTCAATTGTATAGCATCTTCCACTCTTTTTCATTCCTAGCACTTCTTGACCTTCCCTTGAGATGCTATTTAGTGTGGCCTCCGAATGGCTGATTGTTCTTTTCAAAAGCTTTTTCAAGGCAGGAATTCATTCGTAGGATTACCACTGCCTGTCAAGTGAAGATCGCTAATAGAAAGTTTGTTTGTTCTTTATTTGGATGTTGCGTTAATAAAGCATGGAACCTAGGCTTTGAAGTTTTTTGAACAGCTGCCTCTCAGGTTCTTAAATCTTCATAATTAACACGTGGAAGGGTTGTAATATTAAACAAAAAATTTAAATTAAAGTAAATATAAATAGTTTCCCTGAAGCGATAAGTTTTTGGTAAATTTTAAATTTTTATGTGCAAATCACATTAACAACTTTATACTTTTATACTATTTAATGTAGTAAAAATCTGCCGGTTTATTTCGAAAATTTTTGCTTTGCAAAAAGTTTTGTGCCACTCCATAGAAATNCATTCGTAGGATTACCACTGCCTGTCAAGTGAAGATCGCTAATAGAAAGTATTTGTTCTTTTTTTGGATGTTGCGTTAATAAAGCATGGAATCTAGGCCTTGAAACTTTTTTTTGAACAGCTGCCTCTCAGGTTCTTAAATCTTCATAATTAACACGTGTAAGAGTTTTAATATAAAAGAAAAAATTTAAATTAAAGTAAACGTAAATAGTTTCCCTGAAGCGATAAGTTTTTGGTAACTTTTAAATTTTTATTTGCAAATCACATTAACAACTTTATACTTTTATACTATTTAATGTAGTAAAAATCTGCCGGTTTACTTCGAAAATTTTTGCTTTGCAAAAAGTTTTGTGCCACTCCATAGAAAAATTAGTTCGTAAGCACAAAAAGTTTCTTTGTTGAAAATATATACCTGTACATATGTATGTATGTATATCGACGACTGAGTGGAAGATCGAACTATCTCGGCAGCCGGTTTAAAAACGACCTACATATCTCAACTGAAAATATAAATTTGAAATTATGTTGTGATAGGGCGTTTTTGAACCGAATTCTAAAATAGGGAATTCTTGAAAAGTATTCTGAGATAGGACATTTTCGAGCTGGCTGTCGAGATAGGTCGATCTTGCGCGCAACCATCGATATGTTGTACACACTCGTATTTCGATACTCAATTCGAATTGCTTGCAGTGTTTGTGTAAATATATATATATACAATTTTGTGTGTGTATGTTTGTTTGTAAGTTTACTTATATTTGATCTGTTCTAGTTATATAATAACGCTTAAAACTATTTGTAAATTCACATTGTGTACATCGTCCCCCATACCCGCCATCGAATCAGCATTTTTCTACGAAGCCATCTCGCCATGCCGCTGTGTTCTTCAACGCTGCATTTCATATCAACTTTCTTTGTTTCTGCACTCAACCTGTACACTGCTGCTACCTGATTAGACCGAGTAGATATTCGTGTAACGCTATGAATGTTAATAACACTGAACTAAAATGTTGCCACAGTGATTGCCGTGAGAGCCTTTTGAGGCTCGCCGCCGCATGGTTGCATGCATCTGCATCGTTGCAACTTTGTAGGCAACCATGCACGTATCTGCGAATAAATGGACAACAGTAAAAAACGNGACCGAGTAGATATTCGTGTAACGCTATGAATGTTAATAACACTGAACTACAATGTTGCCACAGTGATTGCCGTGAGAGCCTTTTGAGGCTCGCCGCCGCATGGTTGCATGCATCTGCATCGTTGCAACTTTGTAGGCAGCCATGCACATATCTGGGAATAAATGGACAACAGTAAAAAACTCACACACTAAATAGAAGTAGAGAAACGCACACAAAAGCATAGCAAAACACACAACGCAATCAACCTTTTTGATCTCTTCACCTTCTCCCCATCCCCATACCCATCCCACATCTTTCACTTGCTCACCCGCATTCTAAATACGAATACATAGCGACTACCCGCAGCCACACTTACCTGTCGTCATAGTAGAATTTGCCACAATGTGACATCCGTATGATTTCCGTGTCCGTGGTGAGTGTGCCACTGTCCAGCGCACAACCTCGTACCGTTATCGATTCGCCAGTGTCATCTGCATGAGAAAAACCAGAACTTTGTAAAAGTACATCGATTTTGTAAGCTAAGCGTATACAAGTATGTGTGCTTGTATTTGAGTGCAGTAAACGGAAAGCGTATCAAAGTTGTATTAACTAAATGCCCAAGTCCATCTACGAAACATATCTAACTACCTTTCGCTCAGCTGACCTACCATAAATGCCCGCAATTTTGATGCAGGCCGTCGCCGGAAAGAGACCGTCACGTCCTTTCCGTCCACCCATGCACGGCGACTCCAATATGGCTGTGGAATAGTTGTTGTGAAAAGGATCGTCGCATGCCTTGTTGGCTCCGTTGAATGAGACGCATTTGAAACAGTCAATACAGTTAGCTGCAGAGAAGAAATACAAAAAAAAGAACGAACCGTGAACAAAAAATAACAACATAAACGAAAGCCCATTAGAGCTGTTAGGCTGTCATATTTGAAGACCATATTGCATGCAAAGGATATTGTATACATATCTACATTCGGGTGGTCCAAAAAAATACATATAGGAAAAAGTAAAGTCGTAATTTTTATGCTCTCACCCCCTAGGATTGTCGTATACCGCAAAAATATACCTCAATTTTTTAATTTGAAATCATAAAAACATTTAGAGGTCGCTCACAGCGCTCAAAGTTTTTCATGTATATATTTTATATGAAAAAAAAAACATGTTNATCATAAAAACATTTAGAGGTCGCTCACAGCGCTCAAAGTTTTTCATGTACATATATATTTTATATGAAAAAAAAACATGTCGTAGATATGGTATATTTTTCAATCGGAAAACTGTGTTCCCCTCTTCAGGCGACTTCCAGTAATAATACCCAATTGTTTATTTAATCATTTTTCATAGTAACTATATTTTATACGTCCGACAAAAACCCCAGAAAACGTAATGGGGGGACCAATAAAAAAATATTAAACAATTTTTAAATAAACAATAGGGTATTATTAACTATTGAATTAAATTTTGATTTTCAAGAACTCTATACCACTGCCAGGAAAAATGTTTTTTTCTCCATATAAATATGTAAAATATATGGCAAACTTTGAGCGCTTTGAGCAACCTCTAAATATTTGTTGATTTCAAAAAAAAAAAAAAAAAACGGGTATAATTTTTACGGTATAGTGGGTGAGAGCATTAGAATTCCGACTTTACTTATTCCAAATTAATTTTTGACCACCCTAATACATATGCGGGTGTGTGTGTTCATATGTATTTACCTAGTTGTATGCTATGCGCTGTGAGCAACACGATGACACATGATATGATTTGAAAATTCCTGTTCACTCGTAGTATTTCGTTTATAGGCGGCATTTTTCCCAATGCCTTTGCACCGCTGCACCTCTGCGCCAGTTTTTGCTATTTTGCTTTTTCGGCTCTTCAGTTCTTCCTATAAACGCAGTTTACTTTGATTTAAGGCTGATTTGAGTCTCTTTTTCATCATTCTTTCTATTACTACAGCTCCCTTTGACAAATTTCAAAATGTTGCTGATGGTGCATATTTTTGATGAACTGTAAGAAGATTGGAAGTTTGATTGAAGTTATACTGAAAAACGAGGATAACGTTTTTGTGTAATTTTTTTTTTTTGGGAAAATGACAGTTATGGTCATGATTTACACATTGACATTTTAGTTTCATACCAAAAACCGCACCAAAAACCCTTTTTTTTACAAAAAACCAACTACTTGTGTAGGTGGAAATTTATCCTCCACATCATGCCGATCAAAAGTTAATGTTCCCACCGACTTATGGGGGAAAACTGGTAATATCTACAGATAAACTGCTTATTCTACTTCGAATATTTCTTTAAAGAGAGGAACGGAAAGACTAACAGGGTATATCTGGCCAAGATAGGTGAAAGTCTTTTGTAAGACAATTGAAAGACAGTAGGCAAGATAGTTTGATCCATGATAAAAAAATAGGAAGGTAGAACCGCTGAGAGGAAGTTTTCATATTCTTGACGTTTGCAAGCATTTTAATTTTAGAATTTTACACACAAATTCTTATTTTCAATCTCAAACAAAAACAACTTTGAACAATTCTTTTTTTCTACTCTCAATTTTATATGATTTTAAAATGTTAGCAAACTTCAAAAAAAAAATCATGGCCGACGAACTGAGAGAACGGTTTTACCTTACTATGTTTTTATCATGGTTTGATCGACTTTGTTTATTCTGGCACGAAAGTCTTACAAGAAAAAGTTCCCCTGCCAACTTTCATGGTGAAAAGCTCTTTGACAGAAAGCAATTGTACAATATCATATTGCTCGCGCTGCTCCAACAGTCACAACGGCTGAGGCAGCAAAGCACCGGCGTCCGTTTGGGAGATCCGAGGCCGAGTCAAATAAAAAAATTTAACTAAAAAAATATTATTTTTCATTTCATTTTCTCTTCATTTTTAGATTTTATTGTTTCAAAAAGAAACATATTTTTAATTTGATTTAGTTTTTAGGAATTTATAAAATTTTTTTTCTTTTTTAGTACCTATATATTTTACTTCTTAATTTATTTAGTTTTTTTTCGTTTTAATTCCAGATTCTATTGATTATAAAGAAACAACATTTTTGTGTTTTAGCTTTTTATTTAATTTTTTATTTTTATTTATTTTATTATTTTTTGTTTAATTTAAAAATTTTATTGTTTGACAATGTTTTTCTTTTTTATTTCACTTAATGTTTAGAAATTATATGTTTTATTTAATCGTACATTTTTTTCTTTCTCATAAATTTTTTTAGTTTTAAAAAGAAAAATATATATTTTTTCTAATTTCATTTAATTTTTAACTTATATTCTTGTTCAATTAAATTTTTTTAAATGGAATTTTGGTTTTTTCATTATATTGAGGAATGTTTTTTTAAATTAAATTTAATTTTTATCTGCTTATTTTTTCTTTTTTTTAATTATTTATTTTCTTTTGACTTGGCTTGAAAATTGTATATCTGGCAAATGAGCAGCACATGTACCCAAAAAACAACTTCACTTAGAAACTTGGAGAGCTATAGATTTTTGATTTTTAAGGTCAATTTATAAGTGCAACGAGAGCCGTGAGAGAGAATTATGTTGCCATTTTCTCCTGGCAACCGAAAAACAAACTTTCAAATAAAATAAATAGAAAATAAAAAAAAACAATTACAATTTGATACGAGAAAATACATTTTTATTAAGGATAATTTTGTATCCATTTTGGTGTAAAAACAAATTAAACGTTTACAATTTTACGAGTACAAGTACAAGTGCTGAGAATCAAAATAAAGTGAAAAGGTAATAAGTGACACGCTGAGTAATCGTTTCCAAGTTTCTAAGTAAGTAAAGTCAATCCTAAGTCTTGCAGAACCCAGCTTTTAAATAAAATATTTTTTTTCCAGAGAAGTTTAAAAAAGCTTTATTTCGAAATTTATTTTTAAGAGAGTTGCCAACTAATTTTAGTTCAAATCATTGAAATCAACAAGTTAAATTAAATATTTTAATCAAATCCAAGACAAGCCTTCTTAATTAAAAAATTTTTTTTTTGAAGAAGGTTGCCACTTCCTTGGAAATCCAATATCAAATTAATTAACAAGTTAAATGAAATATTTAAATACGGTTGCCAAACGAGTGGCATTCAAGTAAGCCTAATTTGTAAAATATTTTTAAAAATTACCACCACCTGCTTAGAAATCCAAAATCAGCTTAATTAACAAGTTAAATTAAAAATTTTAATATGAGCGTCAAAAGAAAAGTGTATGCCGGAAATATTTTTGACGAAGGTTGACACCTGGTTTGAAATTAAAAATCAATTTAATCAACAAGGCAACTGAAATATTTTAATATGGGTGTCAAACAAGATGGTTTAGTAAGCTTTATTTTTTTATTTTTTTTGAAGCTTTAGTTTTAAAATATTTTTTCAAGGGGTTGCACCTGTTTAAAAGTTCGAGTTATCTATAATTGGAGGTTAAATGAAACGAAAGAATGTAAAGAACATATTTTTGAAGAGAGTCGCCAACTTTTTTATAATAAAATTGTACTTAGCAAATTAGTTGCCTGTCATTTACATATGTATGTATTTAAACCAAATTTGTTTGAAACCATTTTATAAGAGAGCTGCCACATTTCCAAAATTTATTAAATCAAATGTTCTGTTCTAATTATGTAAAATAAAAAAAATAGCAATTTAAATCGATATGAAACTTAAACTATATTCTTACATATAAAGACTATCTATGGAAGATAAGTTGCTCTTTCTACTGAAACGTATGAGTTAGTTAAAGTGTGACACAAACATTCACCGTGTCTTGAGACATAATTTTTATCCCAGAATTCCTAGGAAAGGCAAATATCGAGACTGATTCGATAAAGATCTGAGTAACAGCATCAAAATGATCAGCATAACTCCTTACAGGACTTTTACACGATATGTATTTGCACATGTAAATGCTACTTTTTTGCATGTACTCGTATATACTATATATTAGAACGCATTAGACTATGTTCAAACAGGCACCTAATTGGCAATTAAGAACCTTTTCACCAATTTAAGCCTTTATTTTTACCCAATTTAGCATTGAAAAATTCAAATTATTAATTGCTTATTAATAATTAAGTGGCAATTAATTTGTATCAGATTCACTATGCAACCCTGCTAGGTATGTTTTTATTTTGACTTGGAGGTATGTTTATTGAATAAAGAGCAATCAGCTGATTGATTCTGGTCCTCTTTTACAGCCCATATTCCATCAGGGATGGAAAATTTAATTATAAAATTGTACCTAGTTTACGGAAGACTTTACCTAAAAGTAGACAGATGTACCTAAAAAGTAAATATGTATTTCTATATAAAGACAAATAGGAGGATAACAATTCCCATCGATATCGTAAACTTCTTTACTCACATTAAACACATTTTCGCAATGAAAAGAATCTCTTCGAGCAGCGCGAGACACAACTATGTTGTAGAAAAGGTGAATCACTTTCCTCCCAGATCATCGATGTGACGTTTTAAAACGAAATACTTTCCGTCTATCTGGCGCAAACAACTACAGTTGCGTTACTTTGACACAAAGCAGTGAAGCCATTAGACCAATTGCTCGCACCAAAAGAAAATGCATTGAAATGTAAATAAAAATAAGAAATGATTTCCTGAGAAGTTATTTGGCTACGTTCCAAATGTACCTAAAATTGTGTGTTTGTATCGAATGTTCTTTCAAACCAAATAAAGGTACGATTGTACCAACTATTCCATCACTGCTGCTGACGTGTGTGTGAACACCAAACTCAATGCCGCAATTTAAAGCTTTATTGCCTCAGCATATTTGCCAGCAAAACGTTAAACCGTATATCACGCAGGCGGGTCCTCAGGCAAAAGCTAGTATTTTAAATTATTTTTAAATCATTTATCTAAATTAAAATTAACCTTCATTATTTTGTGTAGATAACGCGTAACTATTTGCAACACAGATTCTGTATGCTTCTTCGAACGAAAATAACATTACAAATGCCTTTCGAAAAATTTTTAACTCAAATTAAACTACCTTCTGTGTGGTTGGTAAGAAGCATTAATCCATTTGTCACTCATTAACAATCATTTCTGCAGAAAATGATATTCAACTCTGCTTTCAGCCATAATGTCATTTTCTACCTTCATAACCCATTTTTCACGTCTCTTAGCAAACAAAAATACAGCGTAGAAGGCCAATTGGCAAATGGCACTCAAACACGCACTTTCGTTAGTGGAACCTGCCATTTACTGCTACCACTCATAGGAACCATTAAAGATTTTTATACTCGCAACGTGCGCTTATCAAGTTTAATGGAGTTGAAAATTTTGATCAACAATGGTTACAAAAGTAATAAGAATAACGGCAAAGCGAATAACAAAGGAGTAATAACAAAGGAGGACAAAGGATAAAGGGGATATTCGGACCAGACATTTCACATTAAACAAACTTAGTTGCGACAGTGAAAGAAAAACAAAAGTACCAAATACTTAACGTTGAAATTGTGTGACTTGCAATGCGTAACGGTTATATATATGTTTGTATATATGTTTGTATATATGTATGTAAGTAGATGACATATGCAATTCGCAAACATTTGTAATTATAATTAAATACCCACTCAGACAAACTCAAAACAATTACGCCGCGAGTGAGTGCGAATCGAGGTGTATCAAAGAACCGTTTCACATGGAATTTTCGGATTGATTCCGTTTGTCATCTCTGTGTAAAAAGCCGCATTTCGCAAATGCATTATCGATTCCCGCAAATATGTCACACTTACAGATTTCAGGGCGATAAATTGCATTTAATTTTTTCTAAAAAACTCCAAAGATGAACATATTCGGCGCAATCTAAAAAATTACAATTTCACTGGAGACCACATGCCATGAAGTTGTATCAACGATTGAAAAAGGATTGCACAGCAAGGAATATTCGCTGGAATTTTTCCTCGATATCGAGGTAGCTTTCAATAATGTTCATCCCGAATCTGTTGTTAAATCCCTCCTAACGGGCTGGAGTGCAACCGGTACCGGTG